ATGTCTCCAAAATACAAGGAATAGGATTCAGGATCTCAGAATCCGTACCGAGTAAATCAAAAGACACAAATCCATAAATAGGAGTCTGTTAAGAACTCAGGATTAAGATCATCCTATATATGACCATCGGTAGACTCAATTAGAATTTCTATACTTAACGGAATTATTAGAAATTCATATTGTGTCTATGTCCTTGTTCCACATAATCTCATTATGCGAAATACACTCATTCAATATCTCACCATATTAACAGTGCGGATAACACCGTTCCATTCTAAATGGGAATAACATGTATTAATAGTGTTTTAATTAAAGATTCTGAACTTTAATTAAATTCATTATGAACATTGCTTTTTGATTATTATCCTTAAACATTATCCTCTCGTATATAACACTTATATACAATGTTTAAGGTTACATAAATAATCATAGAATTTTTTATTGATATTCATAAAATATTCATAAATATATGCACATAAAATAATAAACTATTTTATTAAATAAATAATAAATATCCTATTACATCTCATGCTTCTAGGACACTATTCCCAACAGTTTATATCTTCCTTAGACATGTATTATTTTCTGCTGTAATTTTTTAACGCATATATATATATATATATATTTTTTTTTTACTGTCTTTTGATTATTGGTTAAGTTATAGTTTAGTTTTCATGTTCGGTGACACCTGTTGTTAGTGAATGATTATACTAATAGATGATTATTTTTAGCCACTGTTATCTGATAATCACGAGGAGTTTCTTTTCTCTGTATAATAATAGTTTGTTCTCCTGAGTGGTTCGAGTTTGTCATCCTGTTTCTCTTATCCTTCTTCGACTATAACAATCTACTGTTTTCTACCTTTTTTTCTTTTCCTGCTCTCTACAGATTTTGTTGATGTTAGTCTTCTATTAGTATTTTTACTGTTTTATGAATATTCTGTTCATTTGTTTGCCCTGGTCAGTTTTGGATATTGGGTTCTTCCGTTTGGTTTTTTCTATTTTGGAGTTTTAGTTATTCTGCTTCATCTACTCTGTCCATTGTTCTCTTTCGACTGAGATATTTATTTCTTAATCTATACATGTTTATATGTCTGATTCTTTTTATTTTCTTTATAGTATTATTAATTTTGAATCATTCAATATAATTGTTGGGAATTGTGTCCTAGAAGTATGAGATGTAATAGGATATTTATTATTTATTTAATAAAATAGTTTATTTTATCATTTTATGTGCATATATTTATGAATATTTTATGAATATCAAATGAAAATTTCATGATTATTTATGTAACCTTAAACATTGTATATAAGTGTTATATACGAAATGATAATGTTTAAGGATAATAATAAAAAATATTGTTCATAATGAATTTAATTAAAGTTCAGAATCTTTAAATTAAAAACATTATTAATATATGTCATTCCCATTTAGAATGGAACGGTGTTATCCGCACTGTTAATATGGTGAGATATTGAATGAGTATATTTTACATAATGAGATTATGTGGAACAGGGACACAGACACAATATGAATTTCTAATAATTTCCGTTAAGTATAGAAATTCTAATTAAGTCTACCGATGGTCATATATAGAATGATCTTAATCCTGAGTTCTTAACAAACTCCTATTTATGGATTTGTATCTTTTGATTTACTCGGTACGGATTCCGAGACCCTGAATCCTATTCCTTGTATTTTGGAGACATGATGAAATAGGTAGCTGGAAATGTGTTCATGAATGTGTTTTATGAATCACTATCTATTAGAGAATCAATGGTACTCAAGGATGAAGATATAATTAGAGAGGTTAACGGATTCTACCTAGCTCTAATTATGAATTATTTATGGAGGATTGATCTATATGCAATGACTATATCAAATGGACACTTCACAGTTTAGAAGTAATTAATGTCTATAATTTCGAGAGTTCAATTCTAAGTTTATAGTGGAGTAACTACTAGAATTAATAGAATTAATTAATTAATTAAAATGTTTAATTAATTATTAATTTTATTAGAGCTCGAGATTATAGGTTAATTAGTCCCCATGTCGTCCTTGTAATTCTACCAGACATAGAGGGCAAAATGGAAATTTTAAAATTATGAAATTCTAAAATTAAATACTCAAAAATAATTAATTGAGAATTAATTATTATTTAAATAATGTGATTATTTAAATTTGAATTTGAATCATGAACATAATTTAAATTTATCCTTTTAAACTTATTTGATAAGTTGTGCAATTTAGAA